TGCCCTGAAATCTTCAGTATTTAAGCAAACTGTGGACCATGAACTGGAGGCTTTGTAAAAAATATGGGTGGAAGCCGTGCACAGGACTGTGAGCTTGTAGTTCTGTGCAATTTGGATGAAATTGGAGCCCTAAAAGCGCTCTATTTTGCAATGGAGTGTAGGCATCGTTTTTCAAAATGGCGATGGGCTTCAGGACTATTTTAAGGGGTGATCATCTTCGGATGGAAATTTCTCCTAAAAGTCATCAGTTGACCCCCCGTAAATTGAAAAGAAAATGAACGGTGATGAAATAAACTTTAATTTGATGTGTGTCTCGAATACCTTGGAGAGTTGTGAGTATTTTTCCCGAATTTCTGAAGTGGGAGCATTTATCATTGGGGTCAATGGAAGTTTTTTACTGGTCTGGAACCATAGTGCGTGAAAGCCTCACTAAACGTTTACCAAATTGATGGCGTTGGCAGTCAAAGTGGTTCTCAAATTAGAAAATGTGGTTTGTTCTGGGTCAAAATGCTAAGTGTGTGCATGTGGAAAAACAAGAAGGTAGTCTCGTCTAGTCTATCCGCATACATGTAGACGCTCACAAATGCTCGTTTCTTTTTACTTTTCGTTTTTAGCGTTCTCTGTTAGTGGTCTTGAACATGGCATCATTAAAGGGAATGTACATGTTACAACATTAGCTTCTGCAGCAATTATCAGAAATAAATGAATTTCAAATTGAAGGATTAGTATTTTATGGCAAATATTGTTGAACTGACTTGTTTCACGTTTTGGGCTTGTAGATGCTGGAAAAATCAAGAAAACCAATCATGTTCTTGTAGTCGGGCTCCCTGACCCCACTTAAGATGAAACGGAGCAATGTACAGACTTTGGGGAATTGTAAGGTCAAAGAATCAGTCTAGCAGGCTTGTACCTCTCCACAGGTGTGTAATCAATTGCAAAGAAAATGCGGAACAACTCAATACGAGAAAATTAGGAGCGATTTTTGAAAACAGCCAGTTTTCTCCAACGCTGGTCGGCCGATCAGCGTTGGAAAAAATACACTGTTTCTTGAAAATGTCAGTATACCAGCAGCCAGGATTTTACAGGATGCTTTAGACCGTCATTTCATAACAATCCAGTAAGGTATTTCGTGATAATTTGAGCAATCCGTTTTCTGATGTTTGCAGATGTTGCATCTTCCCTTTAAAAGACAACATCAGGGGCATATTTTTAAATTATAAAAATACAAATCAAGGTACAGTCTAGGAACTAAACACTCTTGCCAGCTTGCTTTGGATATACATCTAAGCACATAAGAAAGAAATTGCTAACACTATATTAATTTCCTGTTGAATTTTTTGGTTTAAAGGGAAGATACAACATTTGCAAACATCAAAAAACGAAATGATCAAATTTTCACGAAATATCTTACTGGATTGTTAGGGAATGACAGTCTCAAGCATCCTGTAAAGTTGTGGCTCCTGGTATGCTGGCATTTTCAAGAAAAACTGTATTTTTCCAACGCTGGTCGGCCGACCAGCGTTGGAGAAAACTGGCTTTTTTTTCAAAAGGTGCTTCTTATTTTTCATATTGAGTTCGTCTGTATTTTCTTTGCAATTGATTACACACCTGTGAAGACTACAGATTACACACCTGTGAAGACTACAAGCCTGCTAGACTGATTCTATGATCTTACAATTCCCCAAAGTCTATAAATTGCTCCATTTCATCTTAAAAGGGGTCAGGGAACCAGACTACAAGAATATGATTGGTTTTCTTGGTTTTTTCAGCATATACGAACCCAAAACGTGAAACAAGTCAGTGTAACAATATTTGCAATAACATACTAATCCTCCAAATCCATTTATTTCTGAAAACTGCAGCAAAAGCTAATGTTGTACATTCCCTTTAAAAACCATTTATTTATTAAACAAAAAAGTCTAGTACCAGGCTGATCCATCCATCTCAACACGATCATTCCTGCCCTCATTAGCATACACTTAATCACGGCACACTGAAGGCTATTACTTCAAACAAAGGATTAAAGTGACAGCACCAATGCCAAAATGAAGAAAAAATGCATGTATGCGTAATACGGATATTTGGGTCGGGGGAGAGAGAAATTGTTCCAATTTTATTTATCGCTCCTAACAAAATTATGTATAATAGTATGCAGTTGTGAAAATGCAGACATTTTCAATTTTCGAAAAACATCTTTATACGCCGTGAGGAACCAAGGAATTAAGATCCAAATTGTGTCTCGCGTTCCTTCATACTGCAATATAAAACCATGTACTTTTGGTCGTAAAATTATGGCAAAGCGTGATGCATGCCATTAACGCAGACAAAATATACGACTTTAAGTCGGATGGTTATGTCGTTAATTGAACGACTTAAAACACGCACAAATATTACGTTGGCAGCAGCAGTACGCTTCCATAAAATAATACTAAATTTGATCGCGAAAATGAAGGAATGAATGACAGAATTTCTGTTATCACTGCTTAGTTCTTAATCTAAAAAGAAAACTGGTAAGCTGAACTGAGAAAAGGAAATAGTTGTGGAAAATGGAGATTACTTTTAAAGAATCAAAGACAACAGCATTTGCGAACAATGAATGATCCTCGAGACCAACTTGTTGAATGCTCCAAATATGTCACACACGACCTCGTCTATATTTACAAGACAAGCCGTAATTGTCGCCGCGTCGATATCACCATGGCCACCGGTCGACCTCAGCAGGTTGCCCTGGAAACGTGAGACGCGTATCCAAGGCGACGGTGCACTCGCCGCGCTCGTTGAGTTAAGATAGCAATCATTTAAACTAAAATAAGGGGGAACAATATAGTGCTCGATAAACCATAAAAACAAAAACCGTCATGGTATAGAGCTATCATCGAAGGGGCTCGTTCACCATTGAAAATTGATGCGTGCGCGGTATCTTTGGCCCATTTTTTGGCCCGTTTTCTGGTTGGGAAAACATCGTGATCTGGTACATGGTACCCTGTGGAGACATGTGCACAATAGGGAACAAAATATTGCCCTACATCTCCACATGTATAGGCAGGCGCGGTTCTAGAACCAATATTTGGGGGGGGGGGGGCTAGCAGGGTGGATCCAGATTTTTTTTCAGGGAGGCGTGCTGAAATGAAGACCGGTTATTTTTTCCAGACACTTGGGCCTCCGAAAATCAAGAGGTGGGGGGGGGGGGGGGGGGGGGGGGAGGGAGCCTCATGCCATATTTTCAATGGGGAGCGCCAATAAAATCCTTAAATCATTGACACTATATAAATATATAGTCGTGACAAGGGTGCGTTAGCACCCTTGTCACGACTATTTTTTTTAGGGAGACCGTTCGCATGTACATCACAATCCTTCTTTTTGCTAATGCAATTTTTTTTTTACGGAATTTTTTTTGGGGGGGGGGGGGGCTATACAAAAAAAAACAATGGGGGGCCTAAAGCCCCCCCCCCCCCCTAGGCCCCCCCCCCCCCTCCGTAGAATCGCGCCTGTGTATAGGCGAATACTTATAGGTCTACACAAGGTTATCACGAAATAGTTATATGGATTTCACCCAAAATCTAGGAATTTCCAAGGCGTGTTGATCCGTCATAAATTAAAGTGTTTTATGTAAGGGATGTTCCAATTCCAGCCCAGGTTAATTCTGGTTAAAATAGGAGCATTTTGAAAGTACGCTTTCAAACTCGAAAACTTTAGTACACGAGAACAAAGAAATGACTCTGCAAGGATACAAATTCCAGTATCTGTGGGCAATTTCGTGTACCGGTACATTGATGGTAAAACTCGTGGAGTAAACATAAAGTCAAACTAACATTTGGTTCATGCATTGTTGCCAAATAGTTCTCAATCAGTATAATGGTCGACAAATAAACGTACGTCGACTGTACGTCACAATGTGCCAGGATTTTGTAACAAGCCCCTTCATCAGAGCGCCGTTCCAAACGGCAGTACCTAAGTTAAATCCATCAAATTCACGAAGACTTAATGTCGTCGTTACTCTGCATTTGTGTTTCGTACTGTAGTCCACCAATTTTCAGATTTGTCCCTGAGACATGAACGTTCCCAGTATTCAATGGGAATGTTTATTGGTAATTGCATTTTGTACATCCTAATACAACGTGGCCTTAGGGTAACCCCATGCAAGTGAGTTTAAAGGGGCATTTACGGCCTGAAATCCCCCAAAATGTCATGTTTTGGATTGTTTACTTATCCATTTTTTTTGGGGGGGGGGGCTTCAAAATGGCCGCCGCGCGTGAGCGAGGGCTACACGGTCTTTGTACACGCACAGAGGCCAATTTCACGGCGCTGCTAAGCACACAAATTTGCTTAGCACAAAAATGTCTGGCTTGGTAAAAGCAGGTTACGAGCCAAAACTCCATGTGATATTCATGCTAAGCGAACCACAGCTGAATACTAATCACAAGCAATAATCATCACATGGAAAATTGGTTGGTTATCCTGTTTTCGCCAACTTGCAGACTTTTCATGCTAAGCAAATTTCTGTGCTGAGCGGCTCCATGACATTGACCCCAGGTCGAAGTGCTACACTCTAATAAGTCCCGGGTCAGATTTGACCCGGAAAAGGGTCATGTGGGGCCTAACCATTTTCCGGGTCAAAAAAATGACACTTTTCTGGGTCAACATTAAACTTTATGACTCAATTTCCAGGTCATTTTGACCCGGGAAAGTGTCAGTTTGATTCGGAAAAGGGTCATTTTTTAACCGGAAAAGGGCCAGGCCCCACATGACCCTTTTCCGGGTCAAATCTGACCCGGAAAGTAACATTACGCCAGTTACTTTTCGGATGGCTGCAAATGATGGACTATAGCTTTAAGGTGCAGCTATAATTGACGCCGCCCGCACACGAGTCGAATATCAAAAAAAATGTGCCGCCAATCAAGCGCTCCCATATGGGCACAAGTCCAACGCGGCCAGCCAATCCACACCATTGACTATGTAGCGCGACCAACAATGTGCGCATTGAATTCTCTGATACGAGAAGGAACGCACGCAAAAATTGCTGTTACGTGTTGCTAAAGCCGTGGTTGAATGCGCGCTGTAAACCTCGGCTTTGGTGGAGCCGATCCGGCAGCAATTTGATTCTAGCCCTGAAACGGTGGACGGAAAAGGGACTCCGGCGACTCAGCGGTGGGTGGAAAGGGACTACCGGGACCCAGCGGCATCATGTGGCAGTGGATGATTTTCTTGACGGTTCCGGTCTTTGCGGTGAGTTTGACCATGGAGGAATGGTTTGACCGATTTCTTGAAAGTTTCCCCCTTCCGTCATCAAACTACTGATGTATCTCCGTAAATGATTTAAGCGTGAACTGCACAGTGCGAGTCAAAAAAGAAAGTGACCTTACGAAAAACTACTGACTAGATTTTAAAAAAGTACGTGGTCAGCTTCATTTAACAGGGATAAAGTATAAATTATTGAATAGTAACTGTGAAAGTTTAACGTCACTTGCTTACTATGTTTACAATTTTTATCTACTCTATTTTACTACAAACATCACAAAATTTAGCTGTTCACCAATTATCATATACCGGTATCATTTCGGCCTTAATACAGTAAAACAAAGACGTGTTCCTGCCTTCATGAATTTGCACAAGAAATCATTCCAAAATCACCATCATTATGTCAGAAAAAATCCATATATTAAAAGCACAAAATCTGACATTTCATTCATGACCAAAATTATTTTTAAAAAAAGTTTCAATGGTATCTGAATGCCTGTGTGTAATCTCTGGTTCTCACTTAGCCCACTTTGTAGTTTCAAATGGCATTCCATGGACAGCTGCAAAAAAAGACTCTTTTAGTAAAAATATGCATAAATTTTCATAGCATGGATCAATGTCAGTAAAAAAAAAAAATTCAAATGAAGAACTCGCAAATAGCACCGACAGTACACAGTCTTGAAATACATCCGTGTATGAAGATGACATAATGTCCGATGAATCCATGTATAAAGAAGAAATATGGCCAGTACAGGGTGAGTAAAAAAACAACCCGAAACCCAAATGTTGGGACTATTGTTTTAGTAAAGTTCTGCATGTAGAACTGTCAAAATGTAGGATATGAAAGCCCAATTCATAAGCTTTCTTTTAGTACAAGAATCATTAAAATCACATAGGTACTTTTTAAGTTACAGAATTTTAAACACAACCACCGTTTTAAGGTTCTGTCCACTGATCAAAAAAAGTTAGTGTTCTTTCAGTAAAACGAAAACAAATCACATAGGGATGTGTGTGAATTGTTTTCGTTTTGCTGTAAGAACGCACACTTTTTTGTGATCCGTGGACAGATCTTTAAAACGTTGGTTGTGTTTAAAATTCCGTAACTTAAAAAAAGTACATGAGTGATTTGAATGATTCTTGTACTAAAAGAAAGCTTATGAATTGGGCTTTCATGTCCTAGATTTTGAAAGTGCTACATGCAGAACTTCAATAAAACAATAGTCCCGACATTTGGGTTTCGGGTTTTTTTTACTCACGCGCCGTGAAAACTGAACTTCCCCATGATATACGTAGGGTAGGCCTACACAGAGCAGAATTACCATTCTGGCATATGAATAATTGATTAGCCATTATTCCAAAAACCCTTTGACCTATAGTCATTACATTTCTTGGGTAAGTTCATGAAGAGTTGTTCTATGCATGTACCGAGTGTCATAATTTTTCGTCACTCGATGGCCCGAGATCTAAGTAGTTCAGTCGGAAAAGGGGGGTATCGTGCACCCTCGGAAATCAATTTCTAATCAACGTTTCTAGGTCAGAAAAAATGCGTAGAAAACGATTTGCTATGTTAAAAAATTCAAAAAATGTCCCACGTATTGTTTTTATGCAAATTAGTGCCGCCATTACCGAAAAATCTATTTGTAACTATATCTCAGCCAATATTGCAGATAACTGAACGAACTAGGTGTCTAAACCCATGTTTTCAAGGTCATAGATCACAATAAAACTATTCTGGAAGTGACCACATGTGTCTGTGGCATAGGAATATGCAAATTAGTGCCGCAAATACCGGAAAGTCATGTTTTTGGCATATCTCGCCAATATAGCACATAACTACACCAGTAAGGTGTCTAAACCCATGTTTTGAGGGTCAAGTATCATTAGAAGACCATTCACGAAGTACCTATGTGTGTCTTTGGCATGAAAATATGTAAATTATAAAGTGTCGGTTTATCCGCTATTTGATTTTTAGCCAATATCTCGGCCAATATGGCACTTAACTACACAAGTAATGTGTCTAAACCCATGTTTTGAGGGTCAGGTATCATTAGAAAACCATTCACGAAGTAACTATGTGTGTCTCTGGCAGGTAAATATGTAAATTCTAAAGTGTCGATTTATCAGAAATTTGATTTGTAGCCAATATCTCGGCCAATATTGCAGCTAATGTTGACAGAAGGGTTTTTGATAAGCAATAATGATCAAAGTTTATTTTAAGCCATCATATTCAAAATAAACTGTAATATTGGCTGAAATATGAATATAATTTGGCGGAAAATCATTTTTTTGATAAACCGGCAATTTAGAATTTACATATTTTCATGCCAAAGACACACATAGTTACTTCGTGAATGGTTTTCTAATGATACCTGACCCTCAAAACATGGGTTTAGACACCTTACTTGTGTAGTTAAGTGCAATATTGGCCGAGATATTGGCTAAAAATCAAAGAGCGGATAAACCGACACTTTATTATTTACATATTTTCATGCCAAAGACACACATAGTTACTTCGTGAATGGTCTTCTAATGATACTTGACCCTCAAAACATGGATTTAGACACCTTACTGGTGTAGTTATGTGCTATATTGGCCGAGATATGCCAAAAACATGACTTTCCGGTATTAGCGGCACTAATTTGCATATTCCTATGCCACAGACACATGTGGTCACTTCCAGAATAGTTTTATTGTGATCTATGACCTTGAAAACATGGGTTTAGACACCTAGTTCGTTCAGTTATCTGCAATATTGGCTGAGATATAGTTACAAATAGATTTTTCGGTAATGGCGGCACTAATTTGCATAAAAACAATACGTGGGACATTTTTTGAATTTTTTTAACATAGCAAATCGTTTTCTACGCATTTTTTCTGACCTGGAAACGTTGATTAGAAATTGATTTCCGAGGGTGCACGATACCCCCCTTTTCCGACTAAACTAAAGGGGGAGGGGCGGAATCCCCACCCCCCCCCCCCCCACCCCGGCTGAGAGATTGTCAAAATAACCCGGCCCTTTTAGGATTAAACTGTAGTGCATCTTAAGAATTATTGAACGATTACAGTCACATTATTCCATTGATAACATTCGTAAGGAGAGTGTTTTGTTGTGTATTAGAGCAAGAGTGATAAAATTCTGATAGAGTCAGCTCCAGCAAACGGCTTTTAATTATTTTTTATACTCATGATTTACCAAAACGTGTATTTGTCTTTGAGAAATATTATTGCTAACTCTCTGCTGATCTGATTCAGGCACTGACTATATTACCCCCATTCATTTTTAACCTTTAAAGGGAATGTACAACATTTGCTTTGCTGTAATTTTCAGAAATAAATGGATTTGGAGGAATAGTATGCTAAAGCAAATATTGTTAAACTGACTCGTGGATGCTGCAAAAACCAAGAAAACCAATCATGTTCTTGTAGTCTGTTTCCCTGACCCCACTTAAGATGAAACGAAGCAATGCATAGACGTTGGGGAATTATAAGGTCAGAGAATCAGTCTAGCTGGCTTGTACCCCTTCACAGGTATGTAATCAATTGCAAAGAAAATGCGGAATAACTAAATATGAAAAATTAGGAGCACTTTTTGAAAAAAACCAGTTTTCTCCAACACTGGTCGGCCGACCACCGTACACCTGTAAGACTTGAGTAAAGACTAGAGCTACAATAGCTCGATTTTTGACCAAAATAAATTGTGTACTTGCACGGCAATGTTTACACGACAGGCACACATTTTCAAAGTGCGAGTTTGTGACAATTTTTCTTCTTTTTAATTAACTTTTTTTCCATCATTCTAATATCGCAGTAAGAGCCATAACCCTGTTTGACCATTGAGAAACAAAACAGAAATTCATTAGAAACATTCGCCGTAAAAGATAGCAGTAGACTACGGACTGTTGGTGTCAAGGTAAACTTGAACAAAACCGTGCTGGCTGCGCGTGTCTATTTTAGCTAGTTCACTATCTTTTCGTTTCAGAATATCGATTATTATGTAGATTTTAAAACGTGCACTTCGAGAACACTGCCCAATAGATGGCCTATACAGGGTGAGTAAGAAAAAACGAAACCCAAATGTCGGGACTATTGTTTTGGTGAAGTTCTGCATGTAGCACTTTCAAAATCTAGGATATAAAAGCCCAATTCATAAGCTTTCTTTTAGTACAAGAATCATTCAAATCATCAATGTACTTTTTAAGTTACGAAATTTTAAACACAACCACCGTTTTAAGGTTCTGTCCAGGGATCACTAAAAAGGTGTGCCTTCTTTCAGCAAAACGAAAACAATTCACACATAATTATTCGTAAATGTGATTTGTTTTCGCTTCGGTGAGAGAACACTAAACTTTTTTTGTGATCCGTGGACAGAACCTTAAAACAGCGGTTGTGTTTAAAATTCCGTAACTTGAAAAGTACATGAGTGATTTGAATGATTCTTGTACTAAAGGAAAGCTGATGAATTGGGCTTTTTTATCCTAGATTTTGAAAGTGCTACATGGAGAACTTTACTTTAACAATGGTCCCGACATTTGGGTTTCGGTTGTGTTTTTTTACTTACCCTGTAGAGTAGTTTACTTGTCAGCGTGACTGTCGGTGACGGCGTGAGGGTTCGAATCCCGGTGGGGTAGTTTTCGTTTCTACGCAAACCCTCTATTGTTTCTTTAAAAGATTACAATAAATTCACCTTCATATCGCAACATATCATGATCGGTAAGCTCTACAGTTGGGACCGTCCGCAAAATCCAGGTTAGCATCTTCGTAAAGGTGCGGGGCTCATTTGGCTCATGATCTCGGCAGCCAAGGATTAGGGTGCCGCCTTGTTCCTCACTTTTATGATGCTTGGCCCTCGGGTTATATGGATGGACAGGGTAGATGGTTGGCCGGGAAACCCGAACAATTACGACAGGGAATTCAATTCCTAACATATCGTGAAATGATTTTTAGATATCTTGAAATGATCTCAGGATATTTCTTAATAACTAAGAGAT